ACACGTAGTCTTGAGAGGCTCAGATCGCAGTATGATGAAAAAAACAAGGAGCACCAGGTCTGTACAACTAACTAAGCATAATACATAGATTTGAGCCTTCATTTCTATTTACTTGGCCTATTTTATAACATTTTCAGGACATATTAACGGAAAAAAGGAGTATGGAAGCAAGAATAGCCAAGTTGAGCGCCACCGTGCTGGAAAATAATGTGGAAAAAGATACAGTCGGAATTAACGAACAGGTACAATTTTGAGTTGTTTGTTTGATGAAAAACAGCTTCATGTTTTTGTTTTGAAAGGGGAAAGAAACTGTAGAAAGATAATAAGAACAGTTCCTAACAATCCTTCCTTTTTGTAATTCATCATTTTGATTTGGCATAAACTATTTATTATCAAATGTGCTGCAAATGGCATTGAGTTGAGCATTGTTCTTTACAGGTTCTACAAAAACTTCAGGATGAGTTGAGCCTTCGAAATGATGAGTTGCAAGCCACTGAAGAAATCAGAAAGAAACTGGTAAATGAAAAACTATTGCTGGAACAAAGAATATTTCGACTTGAAATGACAACTAGCGATGAGGTACGTGACATGGTTTCATTTCAGTTACTTCTTACATTGTAAGGGTAATATATATTAAGTTTTTTTTTTTACTTGCAGATGGAACATCTTAAGAAAAGCTTTGAACATGAACGCAAAGTCTCGAAGCTGAGAGTGGCAGAACTTGAGAAGAAACTTGAAGAAGTAACTCGAGAACTAGCTGTCATGGAGTCAACTCTTGCGACCAGGAACTCCGATTTGGCAGCACTGCAAAATAATTTAAAGGAACTAGAGGAACTACGAGAGATGAAAGAGGTTCTAGTCTGATTGTTTTTTTAAATTTTTTTAAAGGAGCTGATTGTGAGATCCCACTTCGGTTGGAGAGGGGAACGAAACCGTCCTTATAAGGGTGTGGATACCTTTCCCTAGCACACGTGTTTTAAAACCTTATGGGGAAGCCCGAAAGGGAAAGCTCAAAGAGAACAATATCTCCTAGTGATGGGCTTAGGTTGTTACAAATGGTATCAAAGCCATACACTGGGCGGTGTGCCAGCGAGGACGTTGGGCCCCAAAGGGGGTGGATTATGAGATCCTACATCGGTTGTAGAGGGGAACGAAACATTCCTTATAAGGATTTGGAAACCTTTCCCTAGGAGGTGTTTTAAAACCTTGAGGGGAAGCCCGGAAGGGAAAGTCCAAAGAGGACAATATCTGCTAGCGGTGGACGTGGGCTGTTACAAATGGTATTAGAGCCAACACTAGGCAGTGTGCCATCGACGACTTTAGCCCCCAAGGGGGTGGATTGTGAGATCCCACATTGGTTGGAAAGGAGAACGAAACATTCCTTGTAAGGGTGTGAAAACTTTTCCCTAGCAGACGCATTTTAAAACCTTGAGATGAAGCTCGAAAGGGAAAGCCCAAAGAGGACAATATCTGTGAGCGATGGGCTTGAGTTGTTACACTGATCTAGCACAGTATCTCTTACCTCTATTTACAATCCCAGTTTATCTTTTCTTTCTTTCTTGTTTAATTTTCTTTTTCCCCACTTTTGTGATGATTCTTTCTTTACTCTAGGACATTGACCGAAAAAATGAGCAAACAGCTAATATTTTGAAGATGCAAGGAGCTCAGTTAGCTGAGATGGAAGCGCTTTATAAGGAAGAGCAAATTTTAAGGAAACGCTATTTCAACATGATAGAAGGTTTGTTTACCATGAGGTCCATATAGAATGAATTCTTTTGTGTTCACAGGTGAAATACTTGCATACTTATACTCAAATATAAAACAAGCTCAACGAGAGCAATTTTTGCACGTTTTTTGTTTCTTGCAGCTGTTTTCTTTGACTCAAGTGCTACAAATTGATTCCTTCTATTTCTCTCGTAAATTTATCATGAATTTGTTGTTTTTTTTTTAATTATATTGCCTGTATTATGTAAAAAGCATCTTATGAAATGTTCCATGGCAGATATGAAAGGAAAAATTCGAGTTTACTGTCGACTTAGGCCTCTTAATGAGAAAGAAATCATTGAAAAAGAAAAGAACGTGCTTAGAAGTCTGGACGAGTTCACAGTTGAACATTCGTGGAAAGATGATAAGCCGAAGCAACATATGTATGATCGTGTATTCGATGGCACTGTCTCCCAGGAAGATGTCTTTGAAGATACGCGGGCAAGTTCAATAGAATTCTTAAACCTTATTGTTTTCTAGCAATCATTGGAAGTAGAAAATATGAACTGATTGTCTTTTGTACAAACGTTATGCAGTATCTAGTCCAGTCTGCCGTTGATGGCTATAATGTCTGCATATTTGCTTATGGTCAAACTGGTTCTGGTAAGACCTTTACAATATATGGTTCTGAGGAGAACCCTGGATTAACACCTCGTGCCATAGGAGAGCTTTTTAGAATTTTGAAGCGTGATAGTAACAAGTTCTCGTTTTCATTGAAGGTAATAATTTACATTCTCAATATTAACGTATGTTTCATTGTTACTAACTCGAGTTCAAAATAATAACGTATGTTTCTTAAAACGACTCGTTGTTTTGTTTCTTTCCACGTGTGAATGCATTTAGTTTATAGTTCACATTTGAACATCATTAGAACGTATATATATTTCCTCTTCATCTCACTTATACTTCTTTGATGTAGGCATACATGGTAGAATTATATCAAGACACGTTAGTAGATCTTCTTTTGCCGAAGAATGCAAAACGATCGAGATTAGATATCAAAAAGGATACAAAGGTAAATATTTCGATGTTCAATCATTAATGATTTTTGCAACTTAATGTTGTCTTTATACTTCTAACTTTTGTGGGATAACTATTTGGTGAGGTTAGGGAATGGTATCCATTGAAAATGTCACAATAGCTTCTATCTCAACGTTTGAAGAATTGAAAAACATTATTTATAGAGGGTCCGAGCAACGACATACTTCCGAGACTCAAATGAACGAAGAAAGTTCAAGATCACATTTGATACTTTCAATTATAATCGAAAGCACCAACCTTCAGACGCAATCCGTTTCTAAAGGAAAGGTATGGTGGTAGAAGCTTAAATGTTTTTATATTATAAATAGTAAAGGACGTAACGTAGCTCTGGTGTGTATGCATTTTCGTCTTTCGTAAGAAATGATTGGCTTTACAGTTCATATAGGTTAGCCCAGTGAACGTTTTTGCTTGGCACGTCTCATTTTCAGCATTAATAGCTTGAATATCTGTCTTCCAGCTTAGTTTTGTTGATCTTGCGGGGTCAGAGAGAGTGAAGAAGTCAGGCTCTTCTGGTAGCCAACTTAAGGAAGCTCAAAGCATAAATAAATCACTTTCAGCACTTGGGGATGTTATCAGTGCTTTGTCTTCTGGGGGTCAGCACATACCTTACAGAAATCATAAGCTAACAATGTTGATGAGCGATTCACTCGGTGGTAACGCTAAAACGCTTATGTTTGTCAACGTCTCTCCAGCTGAATCCAACTTAGACGAGACGTACAATTCTCTCATGTATGCTATCCTTTCCTACATCTTTTCTATAAATCATTTTAGCCTATAAGAAAAGAGGGAAGAACAGGCATATTTGAAAGTTCTTCTCTCAAACGTGTTCTTCCGTATTATCATTAACAGATTCGAAACAAGAAGTTACTATGAAATATGGATGGAAACAACTGTATGTTTAGATTGAAGTTTCTTTTGATGAATGTCTTGTAATTCAGGTACGCGTCTAGAGTTCGATCAATTGTTAACGATCCAAGCAGAAACGTAGCATCGAAAGAGGTTGCTCGACTGAAAAAACTGGTTGGTTATTGGAAAGAGCAAGCAGGTAAAAGGGGAGAGGTCGACGAGTTGGAAGAAATTCAAGACGAGCGACATTGTAAAGAGAAAGCGGATATCAGATATTCCATGTAAACAGCTTGTTGTTGTTGTAGTTGAACCAACTATGTATGTAGCTTGCTAGGTAGAGGGTTGGGCGATGAGAAATGAATTGACTCGATTCTTTTTGTGGCCATGATTCATATTTTTGTTTGTGGAGAGTTGAGACTGTAAGTAGCTCACCAGAATCCATTGTATTATATATAGTTCGAGTGGCTTTGCTTTGTATATATTGACAAATTTCTTATTATCTTATTCATATGCTGTGACTAAAATTCTCGTTTTCTTCGACTCTAAATGTGTAGGATGAATCGAAGTTGGCTAAATTACTTGACGTTCGATGCTTGTTTAAAATATGTTTCCGTTGTTTCAAAAGTTGAAATATTACTCTATATCTTTCTCTTTTTCCCTCAATGTTGCTTCTGTCTTCTACCTACAACCTACATATAAACTTGGACGGTCTTGCTGTAGCTCTCCTCTTTCTATCGTGACTTGAATGTGGGTTTCGGTAGCTCGATCTTTGATCATCTTTTATTGATTTGAAATGATTCTTGCTAAGGTAGAGGTGTAATTTGAGAAATTAGTCAAATATGAGTAACAATTCCGACGAGTTGTGAAGCTTACGATGGATAGGAAAAGGATGACGATGAGCTGTTTGTGGCTTTTTATGCATCTTAAAGAGCAAAATAGGTTTGAACTTCGCAACATAGGCGATTACTCGATGGTTAATTGCTCGGGCGTGTGGTCTATGGGTTAGAAAAACATGTTGAAGTGAAAGTTCCTAAGATCATTAAATTTGTGCACATGATTAAAAGAAGTGATATAACTTGGTTCCTATAGGCAGCAACTATAACTATCGATACCATATTAGCTAATCATTCCCATTTTTTCGACCCATTTTGTTCTATTGTCACCGCTAAAGACCGTGTAGTTAAAAAAGTTGATTGAATATTTAATTCGATTAATTAAATTATATTTAATTAAAAAAAATAATTAATTTTTTAATTCAAAGAAAAAAAGGGACAAAATTTCCCTTTTCATTTAAAAAAGGGGGAAATTTCCCACAATTTTCATGAATATCTTAACAATAAAAAGGGAAGTGTTTGGTAACATTACTAAGCGTCCCAAATAAAAGGCCTTCAATTTAAAGCAACCAATTCTGAAGGTTCAAGTTTGGCGATTGTTCTCCTTCAAGGAGTGCAGCTCATGCGCGAAAGAAATTTGATACAGACAATGGCGAATTCAGATTTCAGAACCATGTAATTGAACGTTCAAGCGGCTACGAGAAGAAGAGAAACGGCAGCGAATCGGTGGTTTTTAGGGTTTCTTTCTGGGTTGCATGTGCTGAAAAATACTGCAGAAAGATCAAAGCAGCAATTTCTGTTTCTGGAGCTCGTTCTTGTTTTCCAGGTATGAATTTCGAGGCATGCCACTCATTTTCTTTTCCAGATAAGGCAGTGATCATTTGATACATTCATCAACCCCCTCAAAATGCGTTCTTTCATCTGAACCCTTGATGATTTACGCATTTGAGGGAAATGTACGTTCTATTCCGTTTACTTTATTCCGGGGAGAGTGGGAAAATCGAATCTTAGGGTTAGTTTTTTTTTTGGAAGAAGTAAGATGAGGATCATGGCTTGAGCGTTTTGGGTAGGAAGTTACTTCCATCTAGTGATGAGTATTGCTATTATTTTCATGTACTATTTCTCGAAGACGCTCGACTATTTTTTCTGGATTTCTGGTTTTGGTTTCCATTTGATTTCAATGTAGCATTTTCCCTTTCCTGTCTTCTGAAAACCTAACTATCATTAGTTGTAGAATTCTCCCTTTGGAACCGGAGATGTGTGATGCGATGGAGGAACAGGAATCTGCACAAGATATTCCAGTTGCTTTAGGTGAAGGCAACCAAGTTATTTCTAAAGATGAGCTCCATGATTCTCTCCCTTTGCCAGCTGAGGCAACTCCGAACTCTTGTGAAAATAAGATCGATTCACCTGAAACTCATGTACAGGAAGTCGTACCTCCGGAGGATAATTTAGATAAATCTACGATTCCTCAGCAATCAAATCAAGATTCTGCGAATTCACTTCCCAATCACGACCAAGAATTGGTTAAGCCTGATGCAGAACCTGCTTCTGATGTCAAGACTGGGCCTGATGAGTTGCCCCCAAGGGAGTTGGGTCTAGATGCTGCTACTTCCAACACTCACCTGGAAACCGTACATTCCTCCTTGGATGCTGAGGCCTTTGGGATGCCTGAAACTAAAACAGGTTCTCTTGATGATGCTTCAACAGCCAATCATGATGAACCTGTAACTCCCCATCCCGTCTCATCATGTATTAAAGCTGAAACAGAGAATGCCATAGAATTGAAGGTCAATGAAGACAACGTTGCTACACCTCACAATGGGCATTCAAATACGAATCACTCGTTTATTTTGGATGAAAATCAAATTGCTGAAGGTAGTGAATCAGGAACAGAAGAAGAGCAATCTGCTTTCATGAAGGAGCTTGAGAATTTCTTCAGAGAAAGAGGCATGGAATTCAAGCCTCCCAAGTTTTATGGAGAAGGACTGAATTGCCTCAAGTAATGTTTTATTCTTTATTACTTAGCATAATTGACGTAATCCAATGGGAGTTGGAGTTTTTAGCTCACATTAATTTTTTTTTGTTATAAGGTTATGGAGGGCTGTGACTAGATTGGGGGGCTATGACAAGGTATCTTTTGTTGTTGTTTATATACTGTGTTTTTTGTCTGATATATATCTTCCTATGAAAGATAACCTGAAGTTGAAAATCGTTAATTGTTTCAATGACAATGTGTTTGAATCAAGTAAGCTCTACTATCAAATATTTTAAATATAGTTCCAGCACAGGTATTTGTTTATGGGAAGAAACACAGGCTCATACTAACTGAGAGGTTAGTTTATAGTGTTGTGGATGACTACATTAATGATATCTGTATGTGCCAAATTTAGCGGTTGAGAAAATATGATTGATATGCACAGCTTTCTGTAAAGTGTTTTAACTGCTCCTCTTTCAACGACCTTAGAACTAGGTAAGTAGAAAACCACGGATCTATTATTTATGTTTTTATTTTGTTTTCTTCTCATGATATTTCTTTGTTTCGTTTGATTATATAATTTTGAGGCTCTTCAATCTTATTTTTGACACATACATGACTGGCGGCCTTTTTGAATAGGTGACTGCATGCAAGTTGTGGCGGCAAGTGGGAGAGTCTTTCAAGCCCCCGAAGTATGGTCACAATTTCTAGAACTACTCATGATGTCAAAATATTTATACGTGACATTGTGGGAGACAAGTTTCTGCTTTTGCCTATTAATATTATTTTTAATTGTTTATTTGTTTTACGTCAGTTCATCTATCTTTCTTTTGAAATTTAATAGTAAATTTTGTTATTATGTCTGAAGTCATCATACATCCTAGCATAATGCCTAACCGTATGGTGGTTTACTTTTATACTAAATTATTGTTGACGGATTCTTCAATTTATTTGAAGAATAAGTGATTTCATAGTAACTGTGTGAGTTGTAATACCTCTATATGGGGAAGAATTTTTGGACATTTTGTATTGCCTTATTCTCCAGCCTGGATATGATAAGTTTTTTTTTTTCCACTTTTTTTTTCCTGCAGGACATGTACAACAGTTTCATGGACATTTCGAGGATTTTATGAGAAGGTGATGGTGGAAAGACATTTTCTTTGAATATTTGTGTATTTTATTGATGTATTTTGTATAGAGGCTGATCACTTTGGTCATACTTGGGAAGGCATTCTTTTGAATTGATGGTAATGTTATGGGATCGTTGAAACTACTTTTGGGTCATTTGATGTGCATTTTGGTAGACTTGTGGTCTTTGAATTTTTGTAATGAAGGTTTTTTATTTATTGCACTTGTCCCAAGTGGATGAAGTATTAAAACGTGGATTAGAATTTTGATCCATAGCAAGTATTGTTTTCAATTTATAATCTGAGTTTTCATTGGTTGGTTTTTTGTACCTTAGCTTAGTGTCAAGATTCTAGTGTGTCCATCTACTGATTACAATAATCATGGAAAAAGAAATACATAATTGCATATGTTATATAACACAATACTTTTGGTTGTAACTTCATGAGTTTTTTTAGGCTGTCCTTGATTACGAGAGGCATAAAACCCATGGTGGCGAACTTAGGGTACCTATTGCTTCCAACTCAGAACCTATGAGCATCGAAAACCAGGTAATACAGAATTTCAAATTACTGGCACTTTATTATTTTATTTTGTCAGACAGTTACAAGGCTGCGGCCTTTATGCTTATTGGTGATAAGCACAGGCAATCGTTGGTGTCTTTTGTGTGTGTTTCTGTGTAGTTTATTCATGTTTCACTGCCCTACTGCAACTTTTAGGGCAAGCAAGCGATAATCTTGTTTTTTCTTATGAGGCAAAACAGAAAGAGTTGAAGCTTACAAAGCACTTCAATTCATAGAATTCTATGATAATAACTATGATTTCAACTATTATGTAGGAGACTAGCTCTTTGAAGATATGTATCAAGAGGTGCTAGTGTTTGCACCATCTGGGTCTTATTGTGATCAATCTCATATTCTGTTTGACTTAGGTAGGACAATGCCCTTGCTTAAAAGCTTAAAAGTCCCACATGTCTTACTGATCCACTAACTAATATTCAGGGCAATCAGATTGATGCCTTGGAAAAAGCATCAATCTTTTCCATCTCTTTTCCTCTCTCCTTTCCATGTCGCTTTTCTTAATTCTATAGAACTCGAGATTGAAAAATGGATGGAATGGTTGATACGAATGTGCTCTTTGTTGCTCATTTGTTGATATGATGTACATACCATTAAGTTTGATTTGTATGAAAAATCCCCGCAAGAACCATCATCTAGGACATATAAAGGGGGAAAAAGTTATTTTATCTTACTGTTTTAGTATTTTACCATAGCTAAAATCCATAGTTGATCGTTAAATTTTTAAGTGCCCTCTAATCTGCTATTTCGATCTTCAGATTTAGATTAGAGTTATCCCTACTCTAAATGATAGATCTTTCTCCTCTACATTTTGCGAGTATCTGTCGAACATTATTGATGTACGAAATTGTGTTGGTTCACAAAACTTTTCTTTACAGTAAGATTGGAATTATGAAAAATATTGATAGAATATAAATCCAGGGACTTTTTTTGAAAAAATCTGACGACCAAGGGTTGGCCTGTTGTACAAGATATGAGCTTATACATCCGTGTCAACCTTATACTCTTAGACTCTTAATCTGCAGCTTGGTCTACAAGTAGTTAGCTGGTCTGTCTGTTAAATTGGGATATCACATCGTTCTTTGCATCTGAAGGAAAGCTTTCAATTTTCCATGCTAGTTGTCTTTCTAGTATAAGGAAACAGGACATTTTATGGGACCACAATTTCTTGAATTTCGATTTCACAAACCTCTTTCGTATTTTCAAAAATCCAAATGATGCATATGTTAGGTCATCTTTTATGGTGGGTGCTGGATTAAGGAAGTTGAGGTGTTATTGCTCCTGCTCATGTTTGTATTATAGTGCCGAGGAAGGGAAAATTAGTACCCGATCAAATTTTATTAGTAATTTGTTATTGGTAAAAGTTAACGTTCTATCTATCTCATAAATTTCATCAGGGATCAGGATCAGGTAGAGCACGAAGAGATGCTGCTGCACGTGCCATGCAGGGTTGGCACTCGCAACGTCTTCTGGGAAATGGTGAAGTTAGTGACCCTATTATCAAGGTCTGGTGAATGCTAAAATTTCATAGATTGATTTCCTTATGTGTCCTCAATTTATTCCACTACCATCATTTTCAATTGGGAGCATCATTCTAATATTTTCTGTAGGATAAGAACTCACCTTCAATGCAGAAAAAGGAAAAACAACTCAAAGGCATTGGTGGTAAGGTTCTTTTTGTTCTTTACAGTATGCATCTACATAGCCTTTAGTTTTGTTCCTTCATCTTATGTATACATATATATATATATTGTTGATGTAGGAATTCTTAAACGTAAGAAACCGTCTTACATGGAGCATACTGTGAAATCAGCACGAACAAAATCATCAAAACCACAGTTATTAACCTCTTACACTCTTTATAATCTTTCTATTTTATGCATCTGTATACAGCTACAAATTAACTTTTACCGTAAAGATGGTGAATTGATTCATCAAATTATATTATCATTTTCCGCTGATTTTTTTTTTTTATGTTTGTCGGTAGGTTGGATGTAGCAGTAGTTGATATTGGACAACCAGCTGATTGGGTCAAGGTCAATGTGCAGAAAACTGTAAGTTCCAGAGTATGTTTTAATGAAAGCCATCTCAAATATGTTCAATGATTGGCAACTGATACAGCAAGTTTATTCATGTGGCAGAAAGATTGTTATGAGGTCTATGCATTAGTCCCCGGACTACTTCGTGAGGAGGTACATCATTTCAGTTTTGTATCTTTTCATTTACATTTTAGAAGCTCGATAGATAATAACACACATTTCCTTTGAAATTTCTGATTTTTGGCGACGAACATTTACCATCTGTTGGCTACTGGCTCCTGTTTCTGATTTCTACAGGTGCGCGTTCAGTCCGATCCAGCAGGACGCTTGGTTATTAGTGGTGAACCTGAACATCCTGATAATCCATGGGGAGTCACGCCCTTTAAAAAGGTCCTTGCCCCTCCCCCTTATTTGAGCCGTAACCAGGTTCCATTTTCAACACAATTTATATTATCGTTGAAACGTATCGTTTCCAGTTCAGACAGCTCGGTATTTATAGCTGATGAACATTTTTCCTCATTACAAACTGTCTCCCCTGATTTTTCCACCCCTAAAACATCCAATTCTTTGCTAAAAGAAAAAATCACATTAACTTTGTTAAGTGTAAGAATACATAATCAATGCGAGTTTTTGGTATCAGGTGGTCAGCCTACCGTCAAGGATTGATCCACATCAGACTTCTGCCGTTGTCACCTTACATGGGCAGTTGTTTGTTCGCGTTCCATTTGAACAACTGGAATGAAGGTGCTACACCCACCTGAAGCTGCATGTTCAAACCAAGCTTTAGTTCGATATGTTAGCCTGTTTTATAATGTTAATACCGTCAGACTGTTAAAAAAACCATAGCCAGGGCAGGAACCATGATTTTGATTGTAAGATATTTGGTAGTGGATAGATTAGCATCCAAGAGCTATTACTGTAATCTTATGTCAAATCCCTTTGTAATCTGTGGTAGCAAGTTCATAAATCAGCTGACAAATTTAGCTTTGCCCCTTGTGTACGTAGTGTTGATAAATTTGCCCGCTTATACTCTAGCACATAAGTTTCAGTCAGCTATTTATGATTAAAACAGCTGAAAGATTTCCACCCATAGTTCGACAATTCAAAAGCTGTGAAGTAAATGGGAAAAAATGTGATTACACGACAAGGATAAGAATCATCTTCGACCTTCCTGAAATAAATATCAAAATTTGGCTTAGTGTTTGTCGAGGATTGTAAATGGAGTGGGAAACTAAAATGCATATTCAATGGGTTGAAGAACAGATGGATTGAAATTTTCATTAATCATACTAAGTCATAATTTTAATAATTGAAATAGAAATGTAAAAAATTTTCACTTCAATGAAATAAAAACTAAAGTATACAACACACAATTGAATCATTTCATAAATTAGATACGATTTACATTCATGGATCAGTTGCCATTGTTGCCAAATCTAATTCTTCGTCGGAATCAATTAGACTTGGCCTGCATATAAAGAGGCAACAGTAAACTCCATTTTCCGTGGCCTTGTTAAGTAATTGACAGAGCACAATACTCTTTTTCCTACATTTATAACACAAGAAAAATGGGCTGTAAATACGCGAGGTGGAATGGGATAACACATCCCCGCCTCCAACAAAGGCCATCTATGACAACTCCTACCCTTAAGAGCATCTGAAAAGCTTCACTCCTACTCAAGGTGAATACAGAAGACACACAAAAAGACAACCCAAGCCATGGGACTCCGAACTAACACAATGAGATCAAAAGAATAACTACAGAGAGAAACTTAAAACCCCACAAGAGAACACATCTCTTCACTAGATCTCTCAATCTCCTATTGTTTCACTCTGCCCAAAGGCCCCACAAAATAGAATAAGTATTAGCTCTTGGAAATGTTTTATTCTATAGGTTGTACATTTGTGTCCTTGAGTTCTCTCTTTTACATCATTATAATTATTAAAAACCATCGTTCCTATTAGGATTTCTTTAGCTATTGTTTGATTGTGGCAAGCCATAAGTAGTCAGTAATGCAAGCACATGACTCATTTAAATATCTGATTTTAATATATTTAAGTAAAATTCACCACCATAATTGTGAAGGAAATAGTAGGAAAGATTTGCCAACTCAGAGTATAATCTTCTAAACAAAGTAATGGCTTCGTACCTTTGGTTGTGGAGTAATGGCTTCAAAACTATGTATGATTGGAACATCAAAATTCGGATGTTCTAGAACAATATATGCACCTTTGTCTTTGTACCTCTCCTCAGTAGCCTGCAAGGGAAGAAAATAGAGGGGGGAAAAAAAAGTTCACTTCAGGAAAATTAAAAGGCAATATTCCTCATTTACCAAAGATATCCAAGTAACTGAAAAACATTGACTGGTGAAGGAATCAACAGTTTAATTTTGGTAAGGTGGTGAATTTTTAGGGTTTAGAAACTTAAAAACACACGTGAATAGAAAGATGTCTCTCTTTTTGAAAATTACCACAACCTATATACATCAATGAAACCTATTTGTGCCCTATAGGCCTTGTCACTCATATCTACAAATTAAAAGATATGGTGCTTGCAAATAGATGGAAAAAAGCTCTCAAATGAACGATAGGTCAGTACCAATCTACCTTGGCACTGCCTTTATTTCTGATAGACATTGGTCCATTCCTGACAGCAAATGTGTTGATGGTGTCAAGTTATGAAAATGAAAGGTGAGTCTTCAAGCTTGATTTGGAGAAGGCTTACGATATGCTTGATTGAGATTTTCTTCTTGGAGCCCTACACAGGAAAACCTTCGGCTCTAAATAGGATTGGGTTAAAGGCTTCATTACAAACACCAAGTTTTCCATCCTCATAAACGGAAGGCAAAGAGGCCATTTGAAAGCTTTTCTAGAGGCCTAACCATTGGCTCACTTCTTGTTCATGATTGTAGTTGATGTTTTCAGTAGTATGCCGGATAAAGAGGTGAAAAAAGATAGCTTGCAGGATCTCTCTATGGAGAATGATACCATCCATTAATCATTTCCAATTCTGCCACAACGCCCTTCTTCTATTTATTATTGACCCACTAAAATTAACCAATTTAAGGGAGATGTGTTGATGAGACGCCCGAGTAACGGCCCCAAAAGTCCTTGTCACTTGTACTTGAAAATTGGTAGTTGCGCTCCAGTCTGCTATACGTTGTTCAGACAACATTTCCAGTGAGATTTCTACATGGATGTTGATCATGTAATTCAAGTGAAATTCAGTAGATAAAAAGGGTCAATTTATACCATAATTGCAATTGAGGATGAAGATGGTATCACGATTTCAGCAAGTGATGAAACAAAGTGATTTTTCTTAACTTCGATGGATGCATCCAAGAGGTCCCAAACAGTAGAGGGTCATTTTAGCTATCTCCACGAAACTAGAACAAGCTTTGCCTATAAATCTTAAGTATAGGTATCCATTTGTTGAGCAGTAGATTTCTTATCTTAATCCATCATCCATATGATGGGACAATCAGTTCTCTCTTGAAAGCTTCTAGATCCCAAGGATAAAACTTAGCTGCAAAATTGTCCACCTTATACCAATTGCGAAAGGAATAAAGAGCATTAACTTGTTCCTCATTTTCATAACTCATCAAGGCTCAATCAGCTACAGAAGGGTTGAGGGAGCAGGAATGTGGAGATGTGGGCCTGAAGAATCCACATGATGTAAACCAATCGTCATGAAAGTGCTTCCTTTTAATGATGATGGAAGCATTAAAGTAGATGATGGTGTGGGTTGGGTCCTTTTGTGGGGGGTGCCTGTTGTTGGCCGGTGGTTGACGTTGGTTTAATACATCCTTGTAATAGGTTGTTGGGGCAGTAAAGGTTGTCGTTGGGTAGTAGATTTCAAAGATTGTGGTATACTATCAGTTGGATAGGTGGAGATGAGGCTACCTTCCTTTCTTCACCGATAGGAATGAGGATCTTGTTTAAACCTCCATTTTGTCCAAGCCTAGCTATTTCAGCAAGAATACCTTTTTGAATTGTAGTCTTCTCAATCCAAATCAATTCATCTCCAGTTCTATGCTCTTTCAAGAATGTTTGGCTCTCATCCGATCGTTTTTGTTAGACAGGCATGGGATACCCATTTCAAGGAGATGAAAAAAGCTCGGTCGCAGGTTATTTCTATGAGCCTTATACCTGTCCCTCGTCTTGAATCAATCTCATTGGTGAAGTGTTGGTGTTTGATTGAGATTGTAACTGGATTTTGAGATGAAGCCATTGACGTTAAAGGTCTTCTTCACACCGATGTCCCATAAAACTTGAATCAAGAAGACTGAAAATGTTTGGAAAAATCACAGATGAATCAAAAGCATCCAACATTATTACTCAATACTGAAGAGCAAAGGAGCCATGAACAAAGATATGGCAAGGATGTATCAAATTAGAAAAACATATCACACAACAAGGAAAGAGGATGAGATGAGGCCTTTTTCTAGGTTTCTTCATTAGTTCTATTTGTCATCAATCTCTCTGTCTTCAATGACCGAATCAATACAAAACTGTAAAAGGTAATGTACTCGCTGCTTAACAGTTGACATACGATGAATTATGATTGTTAGAATAAAAATAAAAATGGATGTACATGACACCATGTAGAAATTCAAGGCAGCAAGTCAATCTCGGTGCACCAAACTAACAACACCCATAGGTTGTCACATCTGTTTGGCTTGCATAATACAAAATTCTTGTTTTTGACCAACTGAAGGTAGACTAAAATAAGCTTGAGCCATCTCAAGTCAAAAATCTATAATCAAAGATGATTACATGTATCAGCCTGTCGTTACTCCAGGGAACATTATATAGTTGAGTGATTTTAAATTTTTTATTTAGCATTTGAAACAAGTTTTGGATCCATTAGCCACCATGACTAAGACTTGTATTATAATTCATTAGCTAAAATTCGCACTAAAAATAATCTTTTTGGTAAGAAACAGTTCATAGATGACTGGAAGTGTCAAAAAGAGGGGAAGAAAGTCAAGCTCTAGACCAAGGCAGATTTGCATTATAATATATCTTTTAATAAATAACTATGGAGGTTTAATGCTTTTTTATGAGCACCAGACAATAGGCCTTTTTATAATAGTGGTCTTAGTCTTGTTCTTTTGGATTGGAATCCTTTTTTGTAGCTAGTGTCGAACACCTATTTCTTTGGGGCTTGGTTTTTGTATGCCTTTGTTTTCCTTCATTTTTTTCCAATGAAAATTCAATTTCTTACCGTAAATAAATAACCAGAGACGTCATATCCGAACACATATCTACGTAATAAATGTGAGATTCCACATCGGTTCAAGAGGGGAATGAAACATTTATTATAAGAACGTAGAAACCTCTCCCTAGTATATGCATTTTAAAATCATGAGGTTGACACGGACTAAAGTGGACAATATCTGCAAGTGGTAGGTTTGGGCTGTTACAAATGGTATCAGAGCTAGACACCGAACGATGTGCCAATAAGGAAGCTAGGCCCTAAAGGAGGTGGATTGGGGGTCCCACACATCGATTGGAGAAGGAAACGAGTGCTAGCGAGAACGTTGGGCCCTGAAGAGGGGCGAATTGTGAGAATCCACATGGTTGGAGAGGAGAACGGCGAATTTATTATAAGGGTGTGGAACCTCTTCCTAGCAGATGCGTTTTAAAACAGTAAGACTGACACGGGCTAAAGTGGACAATAAACATCTCAAAATTAACTGGCAAAGCGATGAGTTTGATAAAATTACCTTCAGATCAAATTCTTTCAAGAATTCTTCAGAGCAATCAGGACCCCTCAAAAGACCTATGCCTCTCGTTATTTGGGGAAAGGCCAGAATTCATCGAAGGATCAGACCACAGCACATCACCTGGTATTAAATTCAAGCCTTCCCATGGGGGATCAAGAACCGATCTTCTAGCTTTGAATAGTTCCTCCAAAGAATCAAGAGATAACCCATTGGCTTCAGGATTTAAGTTCATTCTGCGTCCTTTTTTCCCTTTTGATCTTTTAGATGAAGGCACTGATACGCTGCGGAAAAGTTCCCCATGAGCCGTATTACACATCCAGCAATAATTGGTGCCAAAGGCAACCCTTCGAAACATCCCAAACACTTCCGGTAGACATGCTTATCTTTGTCTCCGTACTTGGTTAGCACTTCCTTCTCAAAACCATAAACGGATGTGCAGTACTTGGACTCGTGGTTTCCACGAAGAAGAACTACACGATTTGGCATGTACACCTTTATACATTACCGGAAGAATTAAATCAAATGAAAACCCCCTGTACAAGGCAAAGAAACACTGCTAAATAGCAAGGATTTACGTGATGCTATATATTTGTTTTTAATAATACGGAAGGCAATTACAAGGCTGAGATGATGGAGATTGAACAGAGATTAAAGAGAGAAATTAGGCAGATGGCTACATGCTATCGTACGCATGATTACATAAAACATTAAAAGTAAAATTGAAGTGCATTTCGATTTGAAACGAAGGTAAAAAAGAGAGGGAGAGAATTAAAATCAGAGCATAAGTACCTTCAAAGAGGAGATCATGAAACTGGCAGTGGATGTCTCCGACGACGACTACAGTCGAGCCGCTGCTGGCGACTGAGCTTTCGAGGATTCTAAGGCAATTAAGTTCTTTAAGGAGGGTTTTAGAAACAGTGAGGATCAGAGAATCGGAAACGGAGACGGGAAGGACGGAAGGAAACTCGGATGGAGGTAAATGTTTGGAAAACCAGTCGAAGGCGGCGATGAGATGATGAATCCATTGCAGGGAAATGGTGGCGCCGGGAGGCCAAGAGAGTTGAAGATGACGTGCAGGGATTTTCTTCAGATTCAGAGATGATGGAGAAGGTGAACTAGGGATCCAAGGGAGCCGGAGTAGCACCCATGGAAATCGAATCGGACAATGCTCGAGTATCGAAAGCTGAAGAATCCAAATCCGAATGCTGCGGCGACATTGTTATCTCCGTCGTTGGTGGTAGAGAGATCTGGCATGGCACCGAACCATTGCCTGCTCTCTGGTTCTTACTCTTAACTGGTACGATCCGCGCGCCCTTTTCCGATTTTGGTACGGATGGCTAATTCCTTGGAGCTCATTGTCAAAGCTTTCCATGTGAAATGTCAAAATTATCCTCCATTCAAAGTTCTTGAAAGAAAGGTACAACGACCTTTGCTCGGTCATCACAACTACTTTGTTCGACACTTCAATCATTCGTCTCCGACCATAAAATTTCTAAAAAAAAATTCCGAGCACGCTTAAAGCTCGTAATGCCTCTTTTGTGACGACTCCAACCGTACATATAAAATATACTGATACTATAACCTATAAATTATGCTCGGCAAGCAAACTACTTCCCTCTAACGAGTCGCTACAAGTTAGTAAGTAATTTTGGTCTCTTGGGTGATCCGATTCATAGCAGAATCATAGACGGATTCTAACCAATCTTAGCTAAAATCCCTAATTTTCAAGGTCCCAATGTAGCCACGTGCTTAGTGTCATAGTCATACTTGTCCAAAATGTGTTGTATGTGGCCGCGTGTCGACTATTCTGGTCATACTTGTACAAGACGTGTGTTGTCCATGAGTGCATGCTCATTCCAAACCTATTTTTACTTGCTTTCATGTTAGATAAGTTTTATATGTGATGTCCCACCTTGGTTGGGAGGAGAACAAAACACCCTTAATAGGGTATGGAAACTTTCCCTTAACAGACCCGTTTTAAAGCCTCTAGGGGAAACACAAAAGGGAAAGCACAAATAGTACAATATCTGTCGGAGGTGGATTGGGCACTGTGATTAGTTGTCAATTCTTCGACCCTTGTTATATTTTATGCTCACAAAATTTGAATTTCACACGACAAACACGTTCCGGATTAGAATAAGTATGGCTCGGATAGTGACCGTCTGGCTGCTTTCCTTTACGCGTGAGATGAGACCAGACCGCACCATTGCAGGCGCACTGTGTCTGAGTATCTCTATATATTTTCCCACCACCTTCCGCCGCCTGTAAATAAATAATCATATTCCGCGTCGAGTTGGATTTCAACTTTCAACCATTTCAGACAACCTCCATTTTTATTTTATTAAATCCGACTCCGAGCGTCTTCTACTCCACCTTCCAAAATCCCCTCTACCGGAGTCCAGATTCCCGATTGCACTGTTGCAGCACTTCTCCGCCGCCGAATAATGGAGCCTATAACGTATCAAAGGATTAGGCGCCGCTCCAATGGATTTGCACGCTGCAGAGGCTTCCACCTTCACTCGAGACGATTCTCCGTCTCCAAGCTGCGGGCGAAGTTCGACTGGCTGTTGAGGATCTTAAATAGATGGCGTCGCTCCTATTCCTGGTCGATTAAGATTAACAAGGTGAGGCGCGGCGGAAGGTCGAAGGCTTCGGCTACGGCTTCGGCTTCGGCGGAGTTTCCGAGGTGCGTCGATCGAGGTGAGTGCAGGTTGAGGTCCTTCCGCCGCTCTAATTCCTTCTACGCGGAAGCCATTGCCGATTGCTTGGATTTCATCAAGAGATCCTCTGTTTCCAGTGATCGAGCGCCGAGTCAACCTAGGGTTGAATTCCGCGATCCTTCTCCCTCTGCGTAACATTTCTTTACTTTGTTCACATAAACCTAAACGCCTGTACCTGCACATAGTTCGTGATTTTCCTTTCCAAATCATATTTGTTGCTTTTTGTTTGTAAGATAGAGAAGGGCATCCCATATCTTGTTGGAGATGGAGCAGATCTTCTGCAAAACCAAATTGAATTCTTCCAGTTCTTTACTTGAACAAAATCCTTTTAATTTACCGATTAATTGATGCTTACTAAAGCTCAATTATACCAAATGTTCTTTATAGTACATTTATATCTCTAAAATTTTTCCAAATTCAAATATTATTTTCGTCTGTTGCTTGATTTTACTCTGTATTCAGATCAATTAAGCTCCTAAGTTTTGGATTTAGTTGCATTTTGTTCCTTTCATTCAAATTTATGTTCATTACTACATAGTTTAGTCCCTGTTTTCCCTCCTCTCATTTTCGAGGTACAAGACGAGGAAATTTCGTCCATGGCCTCGATTTCTTCATCACGACATTCTATCAATAGTTGCAATTTCCTCCCTAACTTCTTAGAGATACAATTCAGATACAATTCAGCTCGTGTGCTAGTCGGAACTTGGATCAAAGTGGATCTATTTCTAGGAAATGGAAGAGTCATAGCATGACAGTAATATCCTCCCCACTCAATTGGTTGATGTCCCTGTCAACCAACTCGAACAAGTAAGACTAAGACTTCTATCATGTGGCTATATGTCCCTGTCAACCAACTCGAACAAGCAAGACTAAGACTTCTATCATGTGGCTATAAACAACATGCTTTGTTTAAAGACGAAAATGGACACCAATAAGTTAAAATAAAAAATATTATAATTAAACCATTAGTAATTTTGAGAATTAATTGAATATTAAAAATAATAAATTTACAAAAAATCTCTTATTTATTCTATGGCTATTGTTGTTCTACAATTAAAATCTGACTTTTATTTTCCATTTGAATAATGATTTAAGTAATTTGTGGAGGCAGTTAAGCGAGGAAATTAAATTTCGATAATTATGGGAAGAAAAAAAATGTGGGGGGAAGGGGAAATAGTTGAATTCGAGTAGGGGTAATTTTGGAAATAAATATGTGTGAAAGCTCCGTGATTACGCCACCTACTTCATCTCTATCGTTTGACTAATGCGTTCCCAACCAAGATAAACATTATGGAACCAATACACTAATTTCCTTCACCTGCTCCTATTTCAATCTTTTCCTTCAATTCTCCATTTCAATTTTTAATTCTCGTAACAACCCGCGAGAAAATATTTTTTTCGTTAAATAAATGGGTCGGGTACGATATTATATTCTGGTCCCTCATTCTATTCCCGATCAATACTAAAAGTTCAAGGGTAAATTTGTAATTTCATTTAACACGTACCATATGAATTCATTTTATCCTTGTTTTTTTTATTATTATTATTTTGTAATACGAGCATAATTGAGTCGTAGTTATCGTAAATTCAAATGGCGTTTTGAAAAATAGATTATAATTTCGTTCCATAGGCTAGCTAAGAAGCCAGCCCAAACAAAGTCTTTCCAAAGGTTCATTAATTAGTTAAACAACGAAGACTTTTGGGTTTTGTAATCAATAATTGAGATAATGTTTGCTTAACTCTATTATTGGATTACTTTTTTAATATATGCTCCACATAAATCCCATCAAAACAACATTAACTTTTATATATATATATATATATATATATTTATATTTATAGATTTCTATTTAACCTACGAGAATCTGTTGTAAATAGAACTGAAAATGGAGTAGAGAGCGGTGAGAGATCTCTATCCATTAGCTAAACGAGATTAGAGATGAAGATTATATTCTTCGTCCTCGTCTCTGCCTTCGTCTTATTATATACACATATTTTTTGTCTTTATTTGTTCAAGTAAATATATTGAAGATTATGGATTTGTTACGATATTTTTTTTTATTATTAATAGAAATTATATTAAAAAATAAAAAGGATTATTTAAAATATATATTAAAAAACAATTAAAAAAGAAGTCAAATAGAGAATTCAACCGTCACAAAAATAAATAAAAAATTGGGCTCGAGGACCATACTATAAGAGAGTATATCGTGGCTCACACGTTATAGACAAGAGTAGTGGTGATACATGAGTATTGGCTAATGGATCGAAAGAAAAAAGTGACATGATACAACTGAGGAGGAGGATCCATCATCTAACCCGCTAAGAAAAGTGGGTAAGATTGTCAAACCTAAAGTACAAACATGAAAAGAAGTGACAGTGTCGTCAGTGGTGTTGGAGACTCAATTAGGTCCCGAACCACCATCCTGAAAGTTGGTTAAGTTCATACAAGTAAAATATGTAACTGAGGTTAAACGCTCCACATTGGCGTATGGCTCTTCGTCATTTTGACGTGTAAAAATATTTGATTAAATATGTGTTCGAATATATTGTATGAGTGTGTCAACATGAGTCGGGCTAAGTTATATGGCTAGGTGTCACAATCGCTCTCTCACGGGACATTTGTAAGCAATTATGTGGTACTCACTCTCACCATTGAGTGAGTCAGCCAACTCGAAATCGTGATAGAATTATCCTTTAGAGAAGTGAAAAAACCCTAAAACTTAAAAATGGTGCGTTGGTTCGGTTCGGTCCGTCCGATCTTAATTTCTTTAAAACCCAGCTCGACCCGGACCGACCGAATAGGTTCCGAGTCGGTTCCTTACACTCTCAAGTCCTAATGTCCGCCTTCACAGCAGCCCGCAGGTGTTCTTGACGAGTGATTATAGCGGGAATCGCTGATTGCTATTAGTTCCTCTTACCTTTAGATTCACTCTCTCAATTAGGCATTCTGGATCATCGCTTATTTTCTCACCCCCAATCCTACCATTGTTGGGCTGACCTTTTCTTCTTTAATCTCAGATTTTGGGTCGAGATGTCCAGGTAACACTTCCTCTATTGTATCCATTTTTGCATTTAATTAACGTAGTACCTCACTTATATGGTCTGCTGGTTTGAGATTTCACTTTCTGATTTGAATCCGTTCAATCATAATGATTTTTGCTTATAATTTATGGTGAATGTTTAAATCGAAGCTTATCCTTTCATTTGTTTTCTATTCAAACCTAAACTGAAAGGTATAGTAGTCTTTTGGAAGAGCTGAGAACGGATCCGGTTGGTCTTGTTACTGAGCAGTTCAGTTGCGAATTGTATCTTGAAGGAGTGTAAAGGGATGAAAAGGAGAAGTTGTTCGTTTAAAATTGATTTGGAAGTAGTCTATGATCATGCTAATTGCTAGTTTCCTCAAGCCATGTTGAGGAAAAAGGGTTTTGGGTCTAGATGGAACTCCAACTCCAGCTAAATTCTTGATTTTCACGAGTGAGAGGTCAAGATTTTAGCTATTAGAGGTCTGAGACAGCCTGGGAGATCCTACTTAGTACTTTTCACTTTTAGTTTGTGTTGACTGGTGACAGTGTAAGCAGGCTGATTAATCAGGGGATTCAGGCATATAGGATTTTCAACTTACTCATTTCCAGTTTCTAACAGCAGATTATTCAGTAAAGATGAGGCTGCTGTAAGATTAGAATGGGTTTCTGAACAAGGTAGCTCTGAGAGTTGGTAGCATTTCCCTAAGAAGGGGACTTTTATATCTGTTCTTTCTCTTCTAAAGGATAGGCAGGATTCCCAGAGACTTGTTTTAGGATGGATAGGGAGAGGGAAAATATAGTCACTTGGTGAGATGATACTTCGAGCTGGTGCAATGGGTTGTTATTGGCAATATGAGAATTGTGGCCAAGTGGATTTGAGTGGTATTGGCAAAGACGAGATTGTGGCCAAGTGGATTAGGGAGGTACTGGCAAAATGAGAATGAGAAATGAAGTATTATTCTCCAAGTAAATATGGAGACTTTAATTGTAACGGCCCAAGCTCACCACTAATAGATATTGTCCTCTTTGGGCTTTCTCTTTTGGGCTTCTCCTCAAGGTTTTTAAAACGTGTCTGCTAGGGAGAGGTTTTCATACCCTTGTAAAAAAACAATTCACTCTCTAGGTGGGGGAGAAGGCTTAGCAAATATAGTTTTTCTAGAACCTTTTTTCTTATTTGGCTGTTGTTGTTTGTTATTATCATTCACCTAATTACACTTTTTTCTAAATGAATTGAAATAAATGATAGTAAAGGATTTTTTATTAACTCTAACTCATATCTCATGCATGAAGATTCTACAGCTACACTACCCCTTTCAAAATTCAAAGGTCTTTGGACATTTGTTCACGTGTGCTTTATTTGGTACATTTGTAGAAAATAATTTGATGGTTGGACTTCAAAACAAAGAATAGCCATGAGTGGAGAACATCTGAATCCAATTCCTTTGGAGAGTCGACCTGGCATCCTTTTCGTTGGATCATCAAACGTTGGCAAGCGCTCCCTTCTCTCAAGTAATTCTCTTTCTCTTACATCGCTAAATTCAATCTATTTAATTCTTACTTGTTGCAATTAAGTTGATTATTATCATGCCCATTGAGAGTCTGTGTATACCGTACGAGTGGTTTCGGGAATTGAAGTTCTCAATTACTACAATCATCATATGCTATAACAAATGATGAGATTTTCTTCTCAAATTTCTCAACATCAGAGAATACTCGCTCTCTCTCTCTCTATTGTTTTGGTACATAAGCTCATGTACAATCTCGTCTTTTTCGATCTACTTGTAAATTGTTATTAGAGAAAAGTGGCCACAATTTCATAGAAGAAAAACTTGTACTTGCTAGTTATCTGTTTTTTTTTTTTTTTTTTTTTCTTTAACATGTAATTTTCCCTTGCGACTAATGTTGTAAGTTAGTGGGATTGTGCTAGATATATGTCTTGACATTCATAGTTTATAAAAGAAGCATAACACTCGGTAGTTGCATCAGAGAAACTGATCATTTTGAGTATTCAATGTCTTTCTGTTAATCGTAGGATTACTTTCTGTGGACTTTGAAGATGCCATGAATTCGTCCACTCAAGTTTCGGTCCATGGGTAAGTGACTGAAAGAAAATTTCATTTTTCTTCTTACGTATCAATGTATCTTTCTATGTAGTTGGTCAAAATGAAAACTACTAGCATTTTCTAGGTCACTCACTGTAAATTTGAGCTCAAAATGGCCTTTTATTTTTCCTTGACAAACAGTTGGACCATCGACACACAATATTACACAGCCGATGTCTCTGTATCGGTGGCTCATTTGGACGAGCAATTTTCCATCGAGGCTTTGCCTACATTCAATCAGTTGGCTGCCCTGGTCATGATCTTCGACATGAATGATGTTAGTCCTTTCTATTTTAAGTTTCTTAACTGCAATTGTAATAATCAATATTTTTGTTGATATCATATGTTTGTATGCCTATTACTCTTTTTTTCATTGCAGCTTTCATCTCATGCGACGCTCCGGGATTGGGTCGCTCATGCTGATCTACAGAAATTTGATGTATTATTATGCATAGGAAATAAAGTAGATCTTGTTCCAGGTCATCCAGTTCATGCTGAGTACAGAAAATTTCTGCAAAAGCAGAGACTTAAAGACTCTTCTACAGATTATTCAGATACAGTCGAATATGGAATTTCTGAAATTGAAGGAAGTAGTTTATTGGGAGACGAAGATCCCTCGTGGGAAACTAGGAGGTCGTGTTTGGAGTGGTGCGTTGAACGCAATATCGAGTTCATTGAAGCGTGTGCGTCTAATGCAGATTTTGACAAATGTAAGTTAGTCCTAGCGTTGGCTTGGATACTCTGTTTGTATATTTTTCTTCAAGGCGAAAAGAAAATCATCTCGATTCTCGACTTAACAAGTTTCCAATCTAATCTACAGGTAGAATTATATAGCAAAGAATTTCAACTGTGTTTTTCCTTTATCTACTTGGAACAAAATTAATCTGTTCATTTTTTATAGCATGTGTGATATCCTATATTGGTTGGGGAGGAGAACGAAACACCCTTTATAAGGGTGTGGAAATCTTTCCCTTGTAGACGCATTTTAAAACCTTGAGGGGAAGCCCGAAAGGGAAAGCCCAAAGAGGATAATATCTGTTAGCGATAGACTTGGGCGGTTACAAATGGTATTAGAGCTCAGACACTGGGCGATGTGCCAGCGAGGAGGCTGTTCCCCGAAAGGGGGCAGACACGAGGTGGTGTACTAGTAAGAATGTTGGGCTTCGAAAGGGGGTGGATTTGGCGGGGATCCCACATCGATCGGAGAAAGGAACGAGTGCCAACGAGGATGCTGGGCCCTAAAAGGGGGTGAATTGTGATATTGTGATATCTAACACTCTTTATAAGGGTGTGGAAACCTTTCTCTAGTATACGCGTTTTAAAGCTTGAGGGAAAACCCAAAAGGGAAAGTCCAAAGAAAGGGAAAGTCTAAAGAGGACAATATCTGCTAGCGGCTTATGTAGGAATCCTGTGTCAGATTCATTCTCATTCTCATCTTGTTTTTGTTTTTCTATGACATAACTATACTATTATCTACAGGTTTATCAATTGATGGTGATATACAAGGAGTTCAAAGGCTCTATGGTGCTCTTTCTGCTCATATGTGGCCTGGAATGATTCTAAAATCTGGAGATAAGATAACCAAGCCATCATTTCCAAAAGAAGAAGGTCTTTTGCCTTACATTAATCTTAGTTAGTACAATGTTTCATCTGTTAGTTAAAAGTCTAAGTATCTGCCTCCATTGTTTTATCCAATCAGAATTGTCGGAAGAAGAATCCGATATTGAAATTGACTACGAAAAACTATCCGAGGGTTCAGCCGAACCGTGGGACGACACAGATTTCAAGGGTTGCTCGTCGAATGGAGAAGGTTCTTCCATAGACACCGGAGCTCATCCAAAGGAAGTCGACAATGCCGAGCAAGATCAAGCATGTCAAAATACCCGTGATCAGGCAGAGGCTGAAGAAAACGCAGTGGCTACTAACGGAGAGCATGACGAAGTGAAGGATCCATGCAAGGGAAAACATCATGATGTAGAGGATTTAGAACGGTTGATGTGTGAGATAGGGAACATGCGGGACAGCTTGAGGTTGATGCCAGATTTTCAAAGAAGAGAAATGGCTGCAAAATTGGCGCTGAAAATGGCGGCCATGTTTGGTGGGAGTAGTGATGATGAAGAGGAAACTGCTGCCATGGACTAGTGATTCTGAGCTGGGAATGGTTGCTCCTCCCCAATCTTGTGTTCCTCGATTCCTTCGGTCAATGTATGTTTGACAGCTTAGTTTTATTTAATCATGTTCTTAGTTTGTTAATCTCACTACTTAGCAAACTAATTAAAGTGCTATATAATTAGTTTAAATACAACAATGGATGTGAATGTATGATCAAGGAAGGATTTTAGTTTTCCAATTTTCTAATATTAGGCATGAAAATAAGAATAATATTTATAATATTGAAAAAAAAATACACTTAAAATTTTGAATTTGGTTGTGTTTAGGTTACTAATTTTCGAACTCAACGAACATGTTTGATGGTTATTCAGCTACTTTTCATGGCCTACATTGAGGAATGGTTGTTCATTTAAAAAATCAATATATTTTTGATATGTTTAGTTATGGGACAAATTTAATAACAAAGTTGAGATGGCCGAGTTGGTCTAAGGCGCCAGATTAAGGTTCTGGTCCGAAAGGGCGTGGGTTCAAATCCCACTCTCAACAAAATTTATTTTATATTTTTTATTCAACTTTTTATAATTATAACTTCGTTTTAGCTTCGATTTGAGTGATTCAAAAAGTGGTAGAAGCGTTATTCCAAGCTCTATCTATAAAAGCTTCAAAATTAGTAATTAAGAACATGTTAGGTCAAAACCCGAATAGAAAAATGAAGTTTAGAAGGCGACTCTCACATTCTCTTACCCCACCACTAAGACATATATGTGTGTATATATATATATAAAATGTTAGAGCACAAATAATGGTTGAGCTTCAAGCACGTGTCAGATTATAATGAGCATAAATGAAAGGAAAATAATGGAAAGAGATTGTGTGATAGAGAGACTCAAACATAAACATAAACCTAAATGAGGGAAGAAGAAAACGAGCAACATAACCAACAACATATTAGACCTACATACAACACAATTCACATGTTATCATCAGCTTGAGTCAGATCGACTAAAATGGTCACATTCTACCCAATACAAATACATTTATGCTATTATCAGTCTGAGCCCGATCAACCAAAACAATCTCAACTTGGTGCAATATAAATACACCTCCTCAAAACCCTAATTGATTCGTACACGAGTCGGAGTGCACCTCAGAGGTACACTCATACAAAAAGCCGTAACTACTTACAACATTTCTCCTAAACCCTACTGAACTTTGTCATCGAAGCATCAAAGCCTGCGTAATGAGGTGCTACACTCGGAAAATTGTACGGACTTAGGTAGGTCGGATTCTTGCCACAACTATCGTATCAAAAGAGTGTAGGATACAAATAGTTTTGTTTTTGAATAAAAAAAAGAAGGTTGCATAATTATAGGGAGGAATAAATGAAATATAAATAGAGGTTTGAATGGCTCCAAGGAATGGTGACAAGACCTTAATGCCTAATATCTATTTTGCTTAATAATTAATTAAAACTATTATCCAAAGATGCTTATTTTCTCTCCCCACATAAATAATTAATAATCAAACAGTCAAAACTCTAAATATTTACCCAATTTTCAATTATTTTAATTTACTTTATATACAAACTATGACAATATAAATATCAAAAAATATATTATTTTATTTTCCAACATAACTTTTTAAATAAATTATATATTTTAAAAATAGACTAAAATAAAGAAAATGTAAGTACGAGAATCAAAATGTTCAAAGTATTAAAGTAAATAAGAGAACAGAATCATAGTTCATACCCAACTTTTAATTTTTTATTTATTATTTTTTCGTGTATCGGGAATCTAAGCTTTTATATATATATATATAAATGAAACAGAATAAAGAGAAGGGTTCTCTTAATCTTTATCTCGAGAGGACATTAGCATTTTTTTGAAATATTTAGAAACACTAATAGTTAGCTCGAAAATATAATACCCGTTTTTTATTAGTTCAAACATAAGGTAAAATATCTAAAATCATTGATTGTTAGCTTGAGAGTACAATGTCGTTTTTTTTTTTCTTAGTTCAACAAAAAAATAAGATGGAATATTTGAAATTACTAATCGTTAGCTCGAGAGTTTAGTTTGGTTTTTTTTAGGGTAGAATATTTGGAATCACTAATTTTTAGCTCGAGAGCATAATACCATTTATTTCTTAGTTCAACGATATGTGGACTAAAATATTTGAATGCCCGAGAGTATAATACCTTGAGCTAGATTAGTTGAGCTACATTCATGATCGTTTCTTGGACGAAGTTGATGTAATTTCAATATATATATAGTTTTTTTTTAAGAGTGAGTTGGGAAAAGAGAAGTGAGCAATACTTAGAAGGGTATGGCGTTGACTAAAAGTCAAGGCAAAAATCCCAAACCCCTGTTGTTACCATTGTTATCTTCCCTCCTCTTTTGCTCCTCCTCGTTGTTGTGATCGTCGCCGTGGACGACGGCCGGGAAATCGCCGCACTTCTGGCATCTGGCCACTACCAGAATCTGGCGGCAAGAGGGGCAGGACGAGTGGGAGCTCAGCCACGTGTCTACGCAGCTGACGTGGAAGCAATGGCCACACTGCGGCAGTTGTCGGATCTCCTCCCCGTCTAGGAATTCCGCCAGGCAGATCGCACATTCCGCCGCGAATTTCCCTTCTCCGCCCGACCCCGATGCTCTGTACGCGAATTTCGGAAGGGATTGCAGGATTTTCTTCTTCAATCCCCTGTTCGCTGACGCCTGATTTCCTGCACCGCCACCGTTACTGCCACGCCGGAGCCACGCGCACCGAGCCACCGCTATCAGCCCCACCATACAAATTAGAGCACACAGTAGCGCCGCCAGAATCACCACGAAGTCCGACTCTATAGCCACCGCCTCTGGGGGCGGCGCCGTCGCTGTCGCCGTCGCCGAGGAAGTATTCCCCGCCAAAGCTTGCAAATAACGAGTCATGACACGGATTTGAACAGAGAAAAAGAAGAGAAATCTATGGAAAAGGAAAAATCTTGAGAACTTTGTTGTTAAAAGGGGAAGAGGGGAGAAGAGGACAACTTGGGAGGTGGGCCACTCCATAGTTTGGTTATTTGTTACTCATAGTTATCCTTTAAGCTCGGTTTGTTCACTTAGATTCTTTTCGGTTTCGTTTGGTTCATCCCGGATTGATATCAGATCTTCTTCTATCTCTAAATGAACTCATATGGATAGATGTTCGAGATGTCTTGATGAGATGATCAGCATATGGGTCAATTCCCAATGGGCCCGAACAAGTCAAAATGGCCATGTGTCCCAAAATAAAAATGAGATGCGACGTTGTTGTGTCGCACACAAACATGCATGCACAAACAGCATGTATGGCCGAATAAGCTTAGATTTCGCACAAGCGAGGTCGGTGGACAAAGGCACAAAACTGGGCGAAAAATGAATATGGGGATTGAGTTTTTCTTAAGGCTTGTCGTGAGTGTGCAACGTCGCATCTCATTGTCATCTAGGTTCCCATCAACACAACTCATGCATCGTGATGTCATCCTTATGCCTCAGGACACATCGGACATCTTTGCTTGCTCAGACGCATCCATTGCGCCCCAACCCATGTGTCATAGGTTAGATTATGCACTCACTGTTCTCTCTATTCACGTGAATGACCAAGACCTAATTGAATATCTATGTGTTAATCATCACGTCATCCGAACATAACAAATCTCTTAACCTTAAAACTTTATGGTATGATGATTCATATTCTTTGGAGACCCAAATGAAAACTATATCATATGTGCAAACAAAATCTTTATGCATGTACAAGCTCTCACCTATAGCCACCAAGCTTATTCATTTCACTGGTGCAGGCTTTATAAACGAGAACTCATCTCCTTCTTTAGTTTGCTCTATACTCTCCGGTTGTTCCCTTTCACCAATTTCATGTATTTCATCTCCATCCACATTGACATTACTCGATTCGATACTCGATACTTGCATAGCCGTTGCTGGTGAATCGCCCTCGTAATCAGACAATTCAAGATCATCGTACGCAGGCACACGTATGGAGTGTCCCGTGGTTTTAAACCGTCGCAATGAGCGTCCAAATGAGCTCAGAGGCGAAGCATTAGAACTACCTCCAAGTGTTCTAGTTGTTGAGCTTCGTAGAACCCGCTTCTTCTTGGCTTTTTCATGCCATTTCTTGAGCGCCTTTGATGTATGTTCGTCGAAAATGGACCTTTTCATGCCCGACCCCATCTGCAATTCATAAACATCCATCATACGACCGACCCTTCTGCCTCACAACAGTACATTTCGCAGGCACGAGGCAGAAAGAACTGATGAAGTCAAGATACGTAAATACCTGATTTACAAGGGCGTATATCGGAAGCGTAACGTAGCTGCAGAGAAACAATGTTATGACCCTACAAAACCATAAGCAGATGAAAGCCTTGTGATCAAAAAGCTCAACATAGAACACAAGATAACCAAAGCATTCATATCATTAGAAGGGAAGAAAGGCTTACTTACCCTATACAAACTTTTACAATGGCAAGGACGGGACCGTCAGAGAAGCAAGAATTCGACCCGAAAGAATGCTGCACACAACAACTATATCGTGGATTATAGCTTACAAGAAAAAATTGTAACAGCTCAAGCTCACCACTAGCAGATATTGTCCTCTTTGGGCTTTCACTTACGGATTTCCCTTTAAGGTTTTAAAACGCATCTGCTAGGAAGAGGTTTTCATTTTCCTCTCCAACCAATGTGGGATCTCACAATCCACCCCCCTCGAGGCCCAGCGTCCTCACTGGCACTCGTTCCTCACTCCAATCGATGTGGGATCTCACAATCCACCCCCTTTTAGAGCCAACGTCCTAGCTGGCACACCGCTTGATGTCTGGCTTTGATACCATTTGTAACAGCCCAAGCTCACCGCTAGCAGATATTATCCTCTTTGGATTTTTTCTTATGGGCCTTCCCTTGAGGTTTTAAAACACGTCTGCTAGGGGGAGGTTTCCACACCCTTCAAGAATGTTTCGTTCTCCCCCCCAACCGAAATGAACCTTCTTAAAGTTCCCAAACCGTAAATAAAACATTGTTCTTGATTGGAGAACGGAAAGAAATCGATATAACGTCGAGAAGAATACCAGTATAGACAAGTTAAAGGTGATCTGGAATGCATTCTGCATAAACCAAATGAGCTGATAATCAGATCAACACTAAAATAAAGCAGCATATGGGAGGTTTTGGTTACCTGAAACAAAGCAAAATGCATGAGATGAAG